TCAGAATGCTTGAAACGGTATGTGTGCAGAGTTCGATTGCGCACTCTGTGTTGACCATGGTGGCTCATCTTCTTCTCCCTCCCTCAAAATGGACCCAACCCTTGTCCAACTTAAATTTTACGCAAACTGGGTGCAGCGTTTATCTCAGATGATGCCTTGCTTTCACATTTTCGAATTCATGTTTTTGCCTTTATAGGTCAGGATTCAAATCGTCATGAACAGAACGGACAAACGTCAGCCGTTTTGCTAGGCAAAGGTCGCTGTTGGGATTTGCTTCGACCGGAACACTTTTATCCGTTCAATATCCCACTCCTGTTGCCTTCTCGTTTGGACCACCCGGATGCAGCCTTAAACACGGACGGACAGGAAGGTCTGACACGTAGTACTTCCGGATTGGATCTAAGCGCTGCCCTAGTCACCGACACACAACGATTTTTTACCGATTCCGACGAACGCGGCCTGAAGGAGTATCTAACTATGGTCAACACTCGGTTACCTGTACCTTTACCCATGCCGTATCTGCTCGCGCTTCGTGAACGAGCCACCATCTATCAAAAGTGGCCGCAACACATCGCTGTACGTGTGATCCGTGAAAATCGAATTAGAATTGATATTTGTACTGCAATGTTGGACTCATTCAGCTACTAATACTGTTCAAACAACCACTAGATTTGCATTCTATGCTTGGACTTTCAATCAGTGCCATTTTAGAAGCTCAAGCGATGATGGTTCAGAATGATGAACAAATGTTCGAGATGAATTATGACAGTTTTCCTGGTTGTGTATCAAATGTCAGTGATACAGTCTCCAATTGGTTCTTGTCAGAAACTGACCTGTGGAAATGTCTATCGTCCTCCAAGTTGAGTTTACCTATCCAACAGCATGCCTAATCCTGCACAATCGGCTCACACCTATCTGTGGCACCGATAGTAGATTAAAAATTGAATGTTTTCTGCCAATTCCAACGACTACAACGAACCGCTTACCATTAACTCAGTCCTACTTATTTCTCAACACCACGAAAGTCACTTCGGTTTACACACTTAGTTCAATGGGTCCGAAAACTAAGGATTCTGTAATTGTTTGATTTCATGAACGAGATAAAGTCGCGTGACTTCACTATAATGATAAGACGCACGATGCTATCCATTTTTGCCCATGATCATTGCAGAACACGTTTCATGTACTATAGTTTCTCAATTTGGTAAACTTTCCATTCGGTGAATCTCAGACTTGGCCAGGATGTTTACTTGGATTCTTTACACAGATATATATTTCAATGTGTTCATTGCGAAAACCTTTATGCCACGTTTTCCAATCATCCTCTATTAGAATGCTCGACTTACTCCCGAACAACGTCAAATATTCGGAACTCTGGTCGATCAACGATTTCGTCAGTGGCTGTCCGAATCGGGTAATTTGCGTCAGTTACAGTTGCTAGAACTTAGCACTGGTCACGCTTCAAATGCGCAAATTTGTAATGCAAATGGAACTCAAACGGATACCGGAGGTGTACCGCCGAAAGCCAATGCCATCCCGCCTGCAACCGTTGGCCCCGATCGGGGTCACACAAGTGTGCCCCGGTCTTCCAGTCAAGGGCGCCGTGCAGAACGTACACGTGGCATTATCACGTCCGATGGTCAGTTGGTCAACGGTTCGTGCCTTTAGTGATAATTGTTGTTCTTCTATCAGACCGTGTCTTTCCGTTTCGTTTATGGTATTTTTCAGGCCAATTTGTCCTTTCCTGTTCATTGCCAACGACCCTGCCGATGAACACATTCTATGGTTGGTCTTCTCCTTCTATTCGCAAATATATGCAAGCCCCAAAGCATATGCAAACGTGTGGCAATTGTATTACTTGCTCCCTGTAATCACCTAATAAAGTGTTGCTTAGTTCAAATCTGCCTTTATTTTTTTATTCAAGCTGAAGAATTTTCATACGCACTTTTTTTGCACGAGTTGGTCTTCAGTACTCCATCTTTTCGACGAAACTAAATTCAATACTGGGAGACTGACGAACGTTGATGCAATATTAATTAAGCCAAACTGGATGCATCCCGGAAATTTGGTTTTGCGTTACAGAATTGGAAAATCCAATCTCCATAGCTCCCTCTTCTACAATCGAATTATGGACTCAGATGTTCAGAGGATAGCTGAGAGTAAAATCTTGCAATACAAGAAAATTATATATATGTATAAGGTCAAATTTTATCGGTGTTGCGCTTTTTGATTACCATTTGATCCACGTAAATTATTGTTGAATGAACCTTTGAAAACAGAAGTACAACGGCTTTAGTTTGTCTACAAATCACCTCAGTCTCTACTCATCTGTACTATTTATCTTTTTATAGGTAAGCCTCTCAAAATTTTTACTTACATTCACCCTTTCATGTTTCAATCAAATGGGTAACCGAAAGATAGTTCATGACAGTAGAGGTTGACAGTTATGGTAAAAAAACTTCTTTGTGACACTGTATCAAGGTAAAACACATTGTCAGGTGCCAGACCCATGTTCAAGAAGTTCATTTTGGTAACAGTATGACAAAAAATATCACAGCAGAGCAAAGCGAATGTACTTATTTTACATATGGAGGTTCAGCCGCCAACATGCACTGTCGGCATAGTTCGTTTGGTCAAACATTTGCTAGGTTGCACGCACTCACCCATACGCCCCAACCGGAGTCCTAGATTTAAAATTGACTCCCCTCTCGGTAGTGTTGAGAATAGATTCTACAACTGAACATGGCCGAAGCATTGGTGTGCTAGCTTTTACATAACTGTCCTACAATGTCTTTGGGTTTCACCTTGCCTTTGGTTAATATCCCCCTTAAAAGGAAGTGTAACTGACGTTGAGCCAAAGACTGGTAGGGGTTCCCAATGAGAAACCCCTTCGTTTGTGTGGGCTACCGCAAAGTATGTCGTGCCCTATGGTTCCAGGCAATCATCCGTCTAGTTTTCTCTCTCCATTAAACCTTACGAAATTAGTCCTGCTTCTGTCACTCACGGGATATGCTTGTGTTCAGCTATTAGGGCCCGTATCACCCTTTATCAACTGTTTTTTATACAAGATATTAATCACTTCAGTTTTATCAAGGATAAAATGTCGCCTATATATCGTGTGTGTGGTCGCCTTTACTGAATTTGATTATTTATGATTAACATAATAGGTTTCTCATCACCATGCTTCCAACTTCACTGTAAAGGTGATATTGCGCATTTTGTGCGCCCCAAATAACAAACGTTTCAGCCTACTGGCAGGAGCTTCAACCAGGTTGTACTGAGCACAGAAAATATTGACTGTTGTGGATCAAAAACCAGACACCGCAGATATTCCTACCCTCCCACCTTTGTGCCAACAAAAACGTCTACCAGAGAGTGACTATATGTGACAAGCTGAGACTACGTAGCGTTTTTGCCGCAAACTTTACACACGAGAAGTGTCCATAGATGAGAAACGAAGTCCATGCAAGGAGCTATATATGCTTGACAATTGTGTACGTCATCTAAATTGCTTACTGACAAGCATTGAAGTAGTCAGAAGCTGAATTTGATTGTCAGAAAAACGTCACACAGTGTACATTGATTGCACCAGCGGGCAGTTCACCGTGATCCTCCTACTTGGTTGCATACCAAGGATAAAAAATCGACTGCAAGCACAATCTGGAGAGTTGGATTATTTACTTGACTTTGACCAAGGCATTTCATCCCCTCTACTACGTCCATCAACGGCAATATATAGGTAGATTACACTTTCCATCCAGGCGACAGCGATCATCATCATCGTACAGCGAAATACAGTGAAGCGAACTTCACCGATCGCTGCCAAAGCATTGGGGCTTGATGGACGGGTACTGCTAGAGTGTCTAGCCGCTAATCAGGAATGTGCACAAAAACAATTGGTGAAGTCATTGTATCTCCTATATCTCTCTTCCTCTCGCTCCCGATTTTGGTCACATCCGAAGTTGAAACCAAACCAGCAACATGTTTCTAGTTGATTTCTTTTTTATATACATTAACCACCCTCTTTTATCCCAATTAAATAAATTGTCTTGTGGTAACCAGAGAAAACAAATCTTGGTCGCTGTACTGTTTTTATTCAAATTATGTTGATGATCCAGGAGGATGAATCATTGCACAATGCCAACAACTTGTCATTTTTGGAGGCAGATTCAGAAGTGGTCTAGAGAACATTGGGTTGTGTCAGGCTTTTTGGCAGTGAAAAAAGCAATCTCTGCGCCGTGCGAAGCGGAAGACAGCACCACAAGCATGTGCACACCACCGGAGAAAGGGATTGATGATTTGCTTTGGAGTGCAATAACCACACGGGCATCGCTATAACCGTTAGTTCACAGTTCATGGTCTCGCGAGGCTAATTAATTTCGTTCATTCTCGCCTGAGTTTCATTCGATCAGCTCTCAAAAACCATGGGTAAGAATAGCTTACTGCGATGACCAATAAAAGTGCACGGTGAATATCGGACCAGAAGGGTTTTCGTGAGTGTTGACGATCAAGTGACGCATGGTGCATCATCCACGGTTCCAGAAGTATGTGAAGACGCGGAGCTCCGGCACATCGAAATAATTGCCCAATATCATGCGGCGTTAGGATTCGCACTGAAGCACTGGGATTTTGCAGTCGTAAAATGTGACTTGAACTCAAGCCGACCACCGAAAATGCAGCATGTGACTGTCTCTCGTGTTCTACGATCGCAAATTCCTTTATCGCGCAGAATAGTTACGGTAATTTATGTCAAGTCGGTAGATCGTTTTGAAGACCAACGGAACACAAAATATATTGAGGCCAGGCTTATGGTTCTTGTAAATCAATAATGGATAGAGATTGTTTATCAAGTTACTGGCCTAGTAACACTGCAGAGGGAGGATCACCGCATTTGAAGTTTAGCCGATGAATCATCGATTGATTTGAAATGCCCAGGCTTGACGATTAATACATAAGTGGAAGAGCAGCAGACTGGTTTCCTGCAGAATGTTCCGTTTCTGAAACCAGTGATGGACGATGACGTGTCCACTGCCCAGACACTTGCGTCCTATCGTTTTAAATTATGTTAGTCCTAAATTATCAGAGTTCGTTATCCTCACAAGTCTCCGTTCCACTCTTGATGTGCCACATTGCCCTCTCCCGTTCGCCTAGAAACCATAAGTGCACCCTAGATGCTGTTTTCTCATATTTGCATAAAACTTTGAAGCCCGAGAATGACTGAAAAATCTGTACGATGTTTCTGCTTCACTCAACCACCTTCCTTCAGAAATTAAGTATCTTCGGGCGTTCCGAACAGTAGTGAACCTGGGTTGCTGAATATTTTTTCTGAGAATTCAATGAAAGAAGTTCTCAACGTCGAACAACTTTGGGGCACTACAGGGGGTAATCCTTCGTCGATACCCATTTTCAGTTGTGCTAAAAGTTTGTCTGCTAAAGTTCCAACTTCTCTTTTTAAATACGCTGTCAGTGTATTTTTATCTAAGACCTGATCAAGGCCTTCTGATCCAGGATATTTGGACGACTTGAATGACGTTCGGTGACCGTTTGCCAATTCTCACCTTTGAGCAAGTTCCTGCGGCTTATTTTATTGAATGCATCACGATGCTCTCGAACGAAAACTTTGGGAGGTTGACGCGGTGGATAAAATGTATGTCCTTACAGATGCTTTGATCTCGGATACACTGCGCAAGCGACGATGTCGAAACGGGTAAAGATTGTGATTCGTTAGCATTAAGAGACTAAAGATGTTGTATATATGTACCAGGGGTTCCGAATTATGTTTGTCGTCACTGTGATAGATGCCACCCATTAGTTTGAAGGGGGTTCTCTAAATAGATAGGTATTAACAAAGTTCGACTCACTCTGTCATTTAGTATCATGGAATATAGTTGTCCGGGAACGCCACTTATTAATCAATCAGTTTCAGGGGATTTGAACGTTGCGGTCGGTCTAGTATTACTATAGAGTAATTCGTTATATAATTCACAGGAATCTATTAGATGTGGATAAGTCTGTCGATAATTATCTTTGTGTTAGACTATCTTGACCTTTTAATGTTATGCGATACGGGGATACGTGTGAATGAAGGTGGGAAATAATGTCGATGGGCAAACGCTATTTGTGCCTCAGAACGACGAACTTCATCCTAACTGATAAGTAGTCAGCTGATAGATATGGTTTTCCCAACTTCGAACTATCATTTACGCCACATACTGTGCATGCTAAACAAGCTAAGTGCTTATGATAGCGTGTACATGTCGGCGACCGCACTAGAAAGAAACCAAAAGAGACTGATCACATAGAGACCATGCTGCGGGCAATTTTTATTGTTCTCCGATAGATGCATCAAGAGTACCTGTAACCTGATGTAGACGGTATTTGGCATAAGGGTATGTAAATCCTGACCAGGAGACTGGCTCACACAGGTCCCGTTAGGCTCCCTGGCTGGAGACCCAGAGATCTTGATCACCGGTGGTTAGAGACACTGAGCGATATGGTTGGGTGTCGCAAAACCCGGTGCTCATGGATCTACTCATTATTCTTGTAACTTTCTGCTATTTTATCCAAATGGGCAACCAAAACGGTGCACTGAGGTGCATGGTTAACGGTAGTAAGAACCGAACCGAACCGATACAACATACAATGAGACGGTGAAGATTCCCAACAGT